CGCTCCACTACTGGCGGCCCGGGTTTGGATCCCGGGCGCGCACCGACGCACTGCTTCTCTGGCCATGCTGAGGCGGCGTCCCACATACAGCAACTAGAAGGATGTGCAACTATGACATACAACTATCTACTGGGGCTTTGGGGAAGAAAAGGAGGAGGATTGGCAATAGATGTTAGCTCAGAGCCGGTCTTCCTCAGCAAAAAGAGGAGGATTAGCATGGATGATAGCTCAGGGCTGATCTTCCTCACAAAAAAAAAAAAAAGAAGAAATTACTACATACAGTATGGTAATTAAAACCTAAACATCTGGATAAAATGCAAACAGTGTTTAATGTTGGCATGTACCAAGAGACCTGCAAGAATGATCAATGCACTCTGAGGAGCTAGGGTCCTATTTATAGGATGAAAGTCTTAGAAGGCTCTCTCAGCAGGAATGCTATTAATTAAGTGGTGAAAACACAGAAAGGAGAAGGAACTGTGGTATGGAGGGGGCACAGGAAACATAAAGAACAAACACTCTCTAGTTTTTTTTCTTTGCTGGGAACATAGTGAGCAGAGAGTACAAGGATATAACCACTAAATGAATTGACTGTTCCAAGTTTAAAAAAAGCAAAACACTTTTTTTCTTCTTCTCCCCCCAAATGAATTCCACTTGGGGTTTTGTATTCTTTAATCCTTGAAGATGTTATACAACAACTGGTGAAGCGAGAACAGCTAAGGTTGGTCGGGGGTGATGGGAAAGATACACACAGAGTATAAAGAAGTTTTCCTCTTAGTCAGAATACAAATAAACAGTGAGAATTTAAAAGTGAGACTGAGATTTCAGCGTTGATTTTTTTTTCTTTGTTACATTTGTATTAGTTCTTTCCATCACTCTCTACATCCCAGCTGTTCGTTTCAGGTGTAGGTTAAATCATCTTTTCTCATAGAAGATTATATGTTTGTAGCCAATAAACCATTGCTGACACCAACAAGCCTTGGGATTTTTCAAGAACTGGGGGTGGGGGAGTGCTCTCCCTCAGAGACACGGTGACAGATAGCTAGCCTGCCTCTCCTCCGGCACTAGGACCCACTTATCTTTATTCTTTTGGGCCTACATCATATATCAGAGGCCAGGTGCAGGGATACTTCGAAAGAGTATGCATGAGCTAGGATAATACCTGGGAGTAGGCTTTCTGTCTCTGTTAGTCAAGATTTCCTAGACTGAACTATGATGAGCTTACAGTTTCTACTGTAACAGACATATCCAAGGAAAGCTGCGGTAATTTACAGCAGGCTTGCAGAGAAACCACCAATGGATGATCATCAATTTAAACTGTAAATAAGGGCCTGTTTTGTTCTGGACTCTGATCCCAGTAATGCCCCTAACAAGCTGCCTGCAAAGCCAGGGCATGATGCCGACTGTTGGAGACATGTTGATTGAAGAACTGTGCTCATCCTCACAAGCTGCTAAAAATAGCGATAAGAACATGAAGGCAAAACAAGTTTCTGGGAATGCAAGACAGTTATCCTGATGTCAGTTTTATTCTAGTTGCTCCCACTGATGTGAAAGCAGAGAGAAGTATCTGATACAAAAGATGTTAACTTCCTAGATAGCACCCTAGAGACCTAAAAGAATCCAACCCTTTAAAGGAGCCTGCCTTTTCACGGGAGGACTCAGAAGTCCTAGAAGAATTGGAGCAAACTTGAGTGCTTTTGCTCTGCATAATTAATAGAGCCTGATATTTCTTCATTTTTCTTCTTTTCTTTTTTTTTTAACATAACCTCTCATTGATTGGGGGAAACACATTCACACTTTAAAATGTTGTGCAGGGCCGGCCCCGTGGCTTAGCAGTTGGGTGCGCGCACGCCGCTGCTGGCAGCCCGGGTTCGGATCCCGGGCGTGCATCGACGCACCGCTTCTCCGGCCATGCTGAGGCCGCGTCCCACATACGGCAACTAGAAGGATGTGCAGCTATGACATACAACTATCTACTCGGGCTTTGGGGAGAAAATAAATAAATAAATAAAATCTTTAAAAAAAAATTCTGCAGGTACTATCTCTGGTTCAAGTATGTCCCTTTGGGGGGTAAACTACGTATTTCATGGTGATAAATTCATTTCATAAGTAGGAAAACTGGACACAAATATACTGCTATGTCAACTTTATTGATTTTTGCACCATTGTAAAGACCTTCATTGTCCTCCAATATTTCTTAAATCTATCAGCATCTCAGAAAATGACCCTGAAGGCCTCATTTATCTGTAGAGGAAAAGATCCCTTTTCTTAGGTTCACCCATAAACATTGTGATTTAAACAGCTGAGGCCTGCCTCTGCTTCTGGAAGGTAACCAGCCCAGAGAAAGCTGTTCTCTCATAGTCATGGGCAACGACTTCTCTTTCTCTGGAAATAGGGTAGGCCAAGTCTTAATTCCAGCTAAATGCTCATGGCCAAGTGCCCTTTTTAAAATCCTCCAGATAACTATAGATTAAGTACGCTGCCTGATTGATACTGGTGTATTGACATGAGTGGATTCGATGGCAGGGCTCCTTGCTGTATTCCCTCTAAGCTTTCCTTCCAGTCTCAGAAGCTACATCTGGACTTGAGAGTCTCATCTTCAAGATGCTCCCGTAAACAATCTTGGAGTCTCCAGATCACCACCACATATTCTGCAAGTACAGTAAAGCCTATGATCACATTCAACATTTGGCATCTTTTTTAAAATCATATTCCTCTCTAACGGCATCAATAAAACAGAGACTGTCACTAGATTAGAACAATTCTAAGGTCTCTTCCAGTTGTAAATTCCTTCGTTTTTGCCTATATCACTTTACAAAATATAAATGTCTCACCCAAAGTCACCTGCTGGGTGGAAGCAGAGTCATTACAAAAAGTCATATTGCATTTAATATTAGAATACAGGACCTTTGAGGGTGGAATGCTGGCTTGTTTCTCTTTGCGTCCTATGGTGCCTACAGTTTGTTGATTGTTAAACGAAATTTACTAAAAATGTAAACTAGAGGAAAAATCAATAGGGATTACAAGAATCGATTCAAAGCCAACAAACATAACTAAATCTCATCATAAAAATAAAGGATATAAGTTCAGCTCCTCAATTTCAGACTGTATACAGCAGATCAAAATTATTTAGATATAATTATTGATGACGGACCAGTAATCAGCCAGTAAGGGGAAGATAGTAATGTTCAGGGTGTACCTCTAAATTTGTGAAGTTGACATTATTGAGCTGTGCTGTTCAATACCATGGCCATCAGCCACATTTGGCTATTGACATTTAAATTAATTAGAATTAAATGAAACTTAAAATGCAGTTCCTCAGTCACACTAGCCATATGTCAAATACTCAATGGCCACAAGTGGCTAGTGTCTACAGTACTGGACAACTTAGAGGACATTTCCATCATTGCAGAAAGTTCTCCTGAACACGGCTATTTATAGAGGATAATCACTACTATTACTTCCAATAATTATATGAAGAAGGAAGAGGAGGAAGATGAGAAATGGAGAATAAAGTGAAGAGAAAACATTGATTAAGCCTTAACTATTCTGTGCTAAACACTTGAAATGCCTTATTTCATACAATCCTTACAACTTGCCTCCTGAAGTAGATACCATAATTATCCCCTATTTTAAATCTGACGACACTGTGCTTGGAGAGATTAAGTAAATCACCAAAGCTATACATTTGTTAACTGGTTTAGTTGGGTTTTTTACTGAAGCCATCTGACTCCAGAGTCTATGTGTAACTGGTAAGTTATACTGCTTCTACTGAAGAACTTGAAATGTTTAGAGCCAGAGTCGTTTACATAAGTGTTTCTTCATCCTGGGTACATACCAGAAGCATCTGGGGAGCTTGCTTAAGGTATAGTTACCTGAGCCCTAACCCAGAGCAACAGGGGCTTGCATATTTGGGGACCACCTACTGCTTTGGATGTGCAGCCAGAGTTGAGGATGACTGTTTAGGGATGTTCTCAGCCACCTGCCACAGTCCAGATAACAAAACGCAGAACCTACCCAAGGTCACTAACAGTAACTACTGAAGATATGAAATGAGAACCTAGACATCAGTGCTACCATCATAACAGAATATGGCTTAGGACATATTAATGAACAGGACTTTTCTATTTCCTGGTTGATACTGTTATTTCATGTAATTCATGTAATACTTAGACATTATATGTCAGAATTCAGAATTTGACAATGCAAGGTTTATAAAAACCAAACAATGGATGTAGCACCACTCTCCTCCTGAGACAAATAGGTCTTTTCTCATTAAAAAGTAAATATTTTCTTCCTGAGAAAATAACGTCTCTCTCCGAAGATAAATCCTCTTAATAGGAGCAGTAGAATGTAGTAGAAATGGTATGACTGCCAACCAGGAAGCCTGAATTCTAGTACCAACTTTGCCCATAACTGTGTGATGGCAGTAAACCATTTCCTGTCTTTGAACCTTAGTTTTCTCATCTGTAAAGTTAGGGTGTGGTGTATGATGATCTCCAAGTGGAGATCCTTCCAGTGGTGTTTCCACCCTGACACTGTATGCAGGCTGAATAAACTTTACAAAGGAAACTTCCAATCTGCTGTAGGACAATACATTCACTTTAATTCTAGTTAATCTATTTACTCTATGCCAAGGGAAAACAGGGACATCAGATGAAAATCCCACATTTTCCTTTGTCAAGGCTCATTCTGATTCTTGTGACTGATTGGTCAGAGCTCTTACAAGGGAGTAGGCAGCCTCCACTCAACAAGACTCATTCCCTACAGCTGCCATTCAGAAATGGTAATGATATACCTAGCCCTCGCCCTCCTACATTCACAGCTGCTGACCTGAAAAGTACGATGCATCAGACATTTTACCACCTTAATATCCATCAACTCGCCTTTACACCTCTAATCTCGATTTAACTGTAATGGATTTTTAGGTGGTTAGAGACGTTAGGCAACCAAGACAGAAGTCACATCATGAATAAGTAGCATTCTGAATATACATTTCTTACCTTACGCTTGTTGGTGGGACACACGTAGAGATAGCTCAAAATTGTTTTCAACCCAACTTTATCATTCAGCTTCTCATAGGTTGTCCCATAATCAGTTGACCTGTAATTCAAAAGGAACAATAATGAGGACAGAAGTATATGTCATTTGGCTGCTTGTCAGTATAATGCATGTTTTACATAGTAGCATGGCTCTCGGGAGGTTTCTAAATGATTCATATAGTATATAATAATGCTTAATTATGTACACAGTAGCATCATGTGAGTGGTTAACATTTGCATTTAAATTGAATTGGTAAAAATTAAAACTCCATCTCTCTACTGCTCCTTAAAGTACGCACATTGCATAAAGAATGTGGTTAATCTTAAAAGATTAAGAGATGAGGATGTCCCTTGAATTGACCAAAGAAATATGGAGTTTTTACTCAGAGTTGACATTTCCAAACTTTTGCTTTATCTTTGGCACAGTAGAAAAGCAGGTTCTCCTGATTTATCTACAAATTGTGTTTTCTTTCATGAGTCATAGAATATACGGTGGGTCAGTCCCTTCAAAGGTCATTCAGTATTTTCCTATTATTTAAGAGTAAGAAAATGTCTTAATAGTAAGTGAGATTTCACAGTCTTACTCAGTGGCCCTTTCTAGTGCTAAGCAACCTGGAGTTGGGAGGACATTACTTCTTGGCACTGACCCTATCTTTTTAGAGATTTTCTCATCTTTCTCTAACCATTGGTCAATAACTTATCAATTTAGATTGAACAAATAAACCTTAATGATCTTCTCTATGAAAGACTATTATATATTTCAGAATTGTAATCATTAAAACCTTGTACAGTAGGAAATGTTATTTGTATTTGAAGAAAGTGGTTGAGAGAACTTAAGTGACACTTTCAAAGAAAACAGCTGATAAATGGCCAGCTAGAATTTGAATCCAGGTATTCCGGTCCTAAAACCTATGTCATTTACATTATATCACAGCTTTTTTTTTTTAATTTAAAGGAAACAGATATAAAATTCCTTCTCAGCCTTCTTTTTACATATAGGAGATTCCCAATGCAATTCATTCATTCATTCATTCACATTTCTTGAGCTTCTAAAATGTACCAGGCCCTGGATACAACACATTGTCCCTACTCTCAAGAATCTAACAGCTTTATTTGAGAGGCAGCAAGATAAAGTCATAACGTGTTAAGTGCAATGATAGACATAAGAATTAACAAGGCATAGAAAATAAAGTTGGTTTAACCAGAAAAACACAAAAATGTAATCATTTTAATTCATTTCTGATCTTACATATTCCTGCAGGTCATAAAGACTAAATAGAAGAAGTTTGTGTTAACAACCTTATCACCATGCATTAAGAGCCTACTCTGGACCAGCCACCAAAAAAAGAAAGCTATATAATATGTGATCTTGGAATGCAGGAATTAAAAATTTATTTTGGCTGGGGATACGGGACATTTTTCCCCTAAAATTTATGTATGTTATATATAAATATTATAGATAATATTATATTATTATAAGTATATCTATTATATATTTTATATATGTATATTACAACTAGTCAATACTTCACAGAATATAGATGATACACCAAATCACTGCAGATTGGGGTGTTATGCAAAGCTTCTTGGAAGAACTGTGGACCACCTTGAAAATGGAAAATGGGTAGGACTTCAGAAAAGGGATGTGGTAAGAGCATCATCAAACCAGTAAACTGGAAGGTGCCAGTGTAACCCAAAGATATAACTGGCTTTCTTCAGGATCAATCTGTACTCTATCCCAATCAGACACTGGCTTGATAGCCAAGAATATTTGAAGGGCATTCCAGAACTCTTTCACAGGAGATCTTATCCATGAACCACAACAAACTTCTTTAAATCCTCCTTCCACATTCATCTTTGTCTCCTCAAACTCATGCTGGTATGAAATTTCCTCCTACTCTCTAAGAAGTATCTGAGACTTCTTTCCTTACTTAGTCCAATCTTGGTGCTGGGCATTTTTTTCCATTCTTACCCTGGCCTTACTAGTTAAGTAAGAAGTAAGAAGGGTAAGTAAGAAAAGAACTTTCTCTCTTACTAGAACTTGCTTGTCTCCAAAATTCACTAGCCTTTCTCTACCTCCTTTTATTGGATAACTGACTGTTTCTATTCATTATTCTGAACCATACTCCCAAGTTCAAGAACAAATAGATGCAAAATCTATCTAGGGGGGTGATGAGAAGAGGATAGAATGTGCAAATACTGATACCTTAATAAATTTTGCCTAGTGATAGACGGAAATCAGTAGGACTATGTTGGAGATGAGAGAATGGTTCAATTTTCCTAGTGAGATAATGGGAAAGGAGGCTAGTGAAGTAGAGACCAGTCTATAGAGGGGTGATAATTAGTTTCTTATAATTTATATTAACTTGTTCCCTGAGCTACTCTACTCAATGAATATTTTTACATTTAAAAAATACACTCTACAAGGGCAAATTGTACATTTGTATATGTGTGTGTATATACTTAACTGAAATCTCAATGCGACAAGAAGATAATGGAGTAACTAGTTCAGATTTACATTAGCAAATTTTTTTTCAGAAAGCTTACCATACGTTATTGGATACTGTTCTCTTATTATAACATCATCAACCCAAATCCTTCAAGGTATATGCCATTATTTTTTGCGCTACCTCCTGTCCCTTGATTTTTCAAAGCTCAAAAACTGAGTCAAAAGTTGTTAATCCTCAATTCCAGCAGAGCTACGTGTTTAAGCATCATGGCATTGTAATAATCAATAGATAGTAAGAAAAAAGTGATGCATTTCCACACACCTAAAATGGCATAATGTAGCAGTTGTCCAAGGTTGTCCCACAGAACTAGAATTAGATAGTGTTGACATGTGTCATTGGTAAAACTAACAATCAGCTGGGATACATTGGTACAATGGCACAGAAGTGAAAATATCCAATACTTGCAAACCAGTTGGTACCAAGTTCTCTGAGTAATGCTCCTGCCAGCCTTACCACATGGTCTCTCCCTTGGAGACCTCCTAGATCTCCTCACAGTCCAGCAACCAAAAGATTGAGGGCTGGCACAGTAGAAGTCCTCAAGAAACTTGGTGTAGCACTAAGGTGAACACCTGTTCTGATTGGTCAGTGCCTATGCCAACTAGCCTGAGCCCCAGTGAAGGAGACAGTGACCTTGGAAGAGGCACCACACTCTGGAAGGCAACTCCTAGTGCCCATCTGCAAACCCCCCTTCACAGCTAACAGATGCTTCCAGTTATCCTTGCTTGGTCAACCATGGGAACTGCAGACTCCTAGGGATGTGAGCTCTGAAGAGCAGAGGAGAGACAGATAGTTGAACAGCAGGCTGGCTGGTGAGCCAAAGTATTAGCTGTTAAATATTTTAAGTATCATCCCTAGGTATGGGGGAGAGGAGTGTTATGCAAGATCAAAAAATGTTAAGAAATGCTTGATTAGGCAAAATTTAATGTTCCTTTACTTCAGAACTTATAAATTTTATTATTCTTATATACATATATAAATTTTATTATTCTAACATATACTGTGAACCTCTTAAATGCACATTTCATGGAGTATTTTCCAAACACATTTGATTATAGGATCCATTCTTGAGAGATATCTAATGAAATTAGTGTTCTGAGCAACATATTTTAGGAAACAATATCAAAGACAAAAAGAAAGATTATGGATCCTGGTTTCATAAGAAAAGGGGAATAATAAAAATATTTAAAACAAATCAAATTTGCAAAGAGAAATGCCAGCCTATGCTAACCATAAAGTGACTACTGTTGTTAATGTGAAAAAAAAAGTAATCTTAAAAAAAAATGTATCATACACAGACATATTGAAGACACAATATAAGCAGCCTTGAATTCTCAATTTGTACCGTTAATTTTAAAACATTCCAAAGTAAGCATTTTTTTTTCAGGTATGGTTTACAGGTTGACTTAGCTACAGATGAAAAACAGAGCTTCTGTCAACATCTATGTTGTGCTGGAAGAAGCAAAAAGCTTAAAAAATAAGCATTCCAGGAAAATAAATATGCAAGTGATTAAATCAAGGCATGCTTTTGCTTTTGATGCTTAATCTTTACCCTTTTTACAAACATACCTTAAGTAGTACTTTTAGAATATTTCAAAGTATGTCTTTATTTAAGTATTTACTATATGCATAGAGCTGAGATGAGTCGCTCTGAGTGGTGGAGAAGCACATTCAAGGCGTGGCACCTGCCCTGCAATACCTTATGACCTCTTTGAGAGGGCAAAGTCTCCCAGCAAACTTGAAGAAGGGATCAATATTGGGCATGACTAGTTTCCACAAAGAGTGGTAGAAATAAAATGTGTGATTGGATTTCTTCTACTATAATCTTATACCATCAAATGAGATAATAAATAAGCACAGAATCATTTGTAAACTAAACTAATCCATAAAAAGTGCTGAGCACAATGACTGGCATGTAATAAGCAATCTGTAAATGATAGCTTTTGCTATTCATTTTATCACTCATTTTTTTCTTTATTTTTTTGTATTCTTTGCCCAACACTTACTAAAACCCATAACACGAAACCTCAAGGAAAATCTCAATCACTGAAAATGATTTAGATTTAGTTTGCTTAGAAGAGAAGATATTCATGAAGCTATTGTTGTTGTTAGTACCATGGAGTGGATTCCGACTCTTAGTGACCCTGTGTACAATAGAGTGGAACCCTGCTGGGTCTTTTTGCGCCATCCTCTCACCTTCTGGTGCTCTATCAGACAACGCTCTGCTGCTATACACAGGGTTTTCATGGCCAGTTTTTTCAGAAGTGGGTGGCTAAGTCCTTCTTCCTAGTCTGTCTTAGTCTGGAAGCTCCGCTGAAACCTGTCCATCATGCATGACGCTGCTGGTATTTGAAATATTGGTGGCATAGCTTTCAGCATCACAGCAACATGCACCCACCACAGTATGACAAGGGACAGACAGGTGGCGTGGCTCCCTGATGGGAAACGAACCTGCGTTGTAGCAGTGAGAGCACTGACTCTTAACCACTAGATCACCAGGGCTGGCTTCTCATGAAGCTATTACCATTTTTAAATGTAAAAAAATGTAGTCTAT